TGCATCATCATTTCCAGAGTCGGACCGTGGACGTGGTACATTCCCAGACGTTTCGCCGGCATCGTCAGTGGTTAAGGCCGTTGAGTAAATAAAATTTTACAAAGTACCAACAACACGACTATGTCTATATTTGTTCTGTACTTCCTGGGGTAAGGGTTGAGGGGTGGGGTTGGCAATTACATGCTTCGTCTGTAGGCTTGCCGACTAGTCCAGGAGGGCGTGCATGTCGTTTAGGTCGAGGCCGGTGCTGATGGTTGAAGTTGGTCGGTACTGACTTGTGCTCACTTTCTCGTCACGCATTCTGCAACCGCTGCTTGCCTCAGCGGAAGCGACCCAGCCCTCGACGAGTCCACATTTGGGCCAAGTGAAGTGGCTGCATGGACGACGTGTGAAGTGGATGCGCGGACGTGATGGAACAGTCGTTTCCTTGACATAATTGCCCGCTTTTTGTGTTGTGTGCTTGCAATGCTCATGAAGCTTGTGAGTTCTAATCGTATTTGGGACTATTCCGACTTCCTGCCTCTCCGTCTCCTTCTTTCTCACCCCCAACCGCATCCTCACCACAATCCTACACTTTAGCAGCCGCAACATGATCCTAACCAAAATGCAATCCTTTTTTCTTGAAGTCAGGATGTTGGCCATTTTATTGATGGGCCTCCCCGATCTTCTTCTTCTTCTTCTTCTTCTTCTTTCTCTTAGTTGTCTTACCTTCGCATCCTGCAAAACTGTATTTTCCAGTCTCGCCTATCTGATGTCCTGCATCTGCCATTTCCGGTCATTTGTACACCAAGTCCTGCATTTTGTTTATGAGTCGGCTGGTCCCCCTGTCCTCAGACCCTGGCGGATGAGCACAACCCCGAAGCGAAGCAGTGACTACTATTCTTTTCTAAATCGTTTTGCTGCTACACTTACTCACTAGTTCGCCGGGCTGCCTCGAAAGTCGACGAGATCACATCATCAAGATCTCGAAAAGACATTTTCCTATTCAAAACTTTCGTGCTATGGGAAAGACTTCGATGAGTATAAATTAGAGCTAAACTTTTTCTTTACAATCTTCTGGTCGCAGAGATACAAGCTGCTATTCATCATTGCTTTCATGAGCACCACATTGACCTTATTTTTATTATCAGAAAGCAAATCAAATGGGAAACCCGCATTTTTGCCTCCCATTTCGTTTGCTGCTTTACCACGTAGGAAATCTAAACAGAGCAGCCAACCAACATTTTTCAACTCTACTGTAAAGTTGACCTACCCACCGACCATATACTTTTATTCAACAAGTTCCGCTAACAATTTTTCACGTGTTGCCAGAGCGCATACTACTTGTCCAAATAGGCGAAATGTAATTGACTAAATACAAATGACTATTCAGCCTATTTCGTGTAAGGTGAGGAAGGACTGGAAGTTCGGTTTTCCCGAAATCGTGTGATTAGGCCTTACGTTTCCGGTACATTTCATATAGCCTTGCTTCCCAGAAAGAATTCCCACTCAGGTTGGAATGGACTGTCCGGTTTCATCAGCACCCTCCGCAGGACTCGAACCATGACAATGCAGAGTATAATATCGACACGTCATCCACAACGCCACATTGTCACGTGCTCCCTTGCATCAAAGGAAAGTCGTGACGTTCAAGGAAGGTCAGGAATCTGCACGTAGCATATTCTGCCGATGGATCGTCGATGAAGTAAAGTTGTATTTGCTATAGCAATCGACTGTGTTACTTCTTTTCCCTTTCAAAAGTAACGCATATCAGGTCCACTGGTAGTCTCGAAAAGCCTACTTATGAACTGAACAATAAGTAGTGTAATCGATTGCTATGAAAAATACAACATTGCTTCACCGACAATTTCACCACAGACGATGTGAAATGGGAAAATGGCTTGCATTCTCTTAAATGCACGACTCTGCACTGTCAGGGTTCGAGTCCCGCTGGGGCTGCTGATGAGACGAGTTGCGGTGAGGCCGAAAGCGCAGACCATTCCAGCCTGAATAAGCATAGCTTTCGGAAAGCAAGATCAAGTGTCAAATTCAATGGGAGCATAAGGCCTACTCAACAGATTTTGGGAAAATCCAACTTCCAGTCTAGCATCAGCTTAAAGGAAATAAGCTGCATACAACTCTTAAATCAGATCTGCTGGTCGCCTTCAAGAACCGACTAATAAACTCAAAAAGATATGCTTCTTGACTTGGAAGAAGCCAAACAATCTGCAGTGATGCAATTTGCTGCTTGCACATGCCATCCAGCTTCTTATTAGCAAATCCCTTACTCTCGTGATCGACGTCTTTCCTGACAATTTCACCGTTGCTGTCTCTGGATGGTGAGCAAAGATCAAGCCTAGAATCTGCCACAACACTACCCGATCAAAGTCTAGAAGCAGTCCGCCTCGTCCCTTCATCCACCAGCTCAACCAATTGGTTGGAATTGCCCACCTTGTAGGTTTCTGTCAGAAATCTCGCCAGAATAAGTTGCTTTGTTGCAATCAGGAGCTCCACAGCGTCTTGATCTGCAGTCCAATGCACTTCCAGATCGGTCATCGGCTGTGACGAGTACCCTCTTTCGCCTCCTCCTCCTCTTAACATTCCCATCGCTACACACCAATTATTGGCAGGAATGGCCAGCCATTCAAGATCGGACCAGGCGGATTAGAAATAGGTTGATAAAACCTACCAAAAAATGTGTATTGATGAAGGTATTTTTGCCTCGCAACTGTCATAACTTCATGATAAGAACCGAAATTCGCTTAAAAGTAAATTCAGTCTTTATTCAACATATACTGGCACAATCGAAGCATTGTCACTACGACTATGAATATGAATACGAAAGTGAAAAGAAATGTCAATATGAGTATATGTATTCTGTGTATGAATCAATCACGACTAGCTCAGGGCACGTTTGTACGGAATATACACAAGACGGAGATATGGACAGATTTGGCTAACTCCTTGTCATGTGTGTGCTGGCCTGCTTGAATGGGCGTGGCTGGTTGTGTACTTATGTAAGTCAGAGTACCAAAGTACCAGTCATAAATCTGACTAATCACAGCAGAGCATCACTTCCGGCTTGGCTGAATGAGGCGAAATTACTCAATGAAATGCTGGATTGTGATTTTCTAATTCCTAATTTATGTTTGCCTGAGTTTGTCAGCATAATAGATATTTGGGACCGGCTACGCGATGACAAGTTGAGCCGCCTCCTGCCTCTCTCTCTCTCTCTCTCTCTCTCCCTTTCTCCGACTCTCTCCTCAAGTCCATCAATCATGAATAAGCAATTTTGCACAACTTTCTACTCCCAATCTTTACATTTAGCGCATTTCCTAATCTCTCTAATTCGTTGGACCCTCTCGTGTTGACGTTAGCCGCAGACGTACCATAATCGACAGACCGAAAGGTTTGGGACTACCCCATCTCGTGTGCTCTTTGTAGCAGCCGAATCTCCGCAATCGGCGATAGTTCTCTCTGTACGTGTGCATAGCGGCAGAGGGCATCAGAGCGCCTGGCAACAGGTCCTAGGCCCCAGCTTCCTATCGGTTCATACATCATGATTTAGAGACGACAAGAGGAAAAAATACAAAAATCTCTCAGGCTAGTTAGTTCGCTTCAGATGGCAGTTGTTGAAACATATTTCCACTACTAAAGAGATATTGTTTGTTTAAATATTTCAGGCAATATCTGTTCAAAATGATTTCTACCAGAAAGCCGCATACGCGCGTATTCTGACATTATAAAATTCCAATTCAACCAATATTCTCTCCGCATTCGGAACTTGATCAACGGACGAGAAAAACGCCGCTCAACTATTCGGCTTAGTAACACATGCAACCGTAGTCAGACTTGTTTTGACCATCTGAGACGCATTTAAATAGATAAATAGATAAATATATATTTCAGTCGCTTCACATTTGTTGCAGCGAGTATGCATGGCATTTCAAGCATACTCGTTTAAACAGCTCCTCTTTGATGTGAAATGTATTCACCAGATTTCGTTCAAAAATAGGGTGAATAAATCTAATAAATATGAATATATGAAGACCAAGATGTTGCGGCCTCTGTTATGGTGACAATCTCCTTTCGATTTATAGAAGTTATTTGTCATCGTTGTCGCAACTTGGTCTTGTTGTCAGGGCGACTATGTAGAATGCACCTAGTCCGAAGTCGTCTGCCA